GGTTTCGCTTGTTCCGTCGACTGAGAGCCGAGAGGCGAGAGCGATTGCGAGAACGGAGCGGGACACAGATATAGCGTGCGCACGAGAGACGGCTGCGGGAATAATCTTCTCTCTCTCTTTCTCTCTCTCTCTCTTTCTCCCCCCTTCATTTACTGTCTTACTCTCCCGTCGCGAAACGGCTGGTCGATTCGGCACGCTGATCACGCTTTGGTCCTGTCGATACTCACACACCTTTTTCCCTCGACGACCCGGGTGCTAACGACGCGGTGCAGATGCTGGAGGAAGCTCGCGAGCGTGCATCTCCGACGTGGGTCGTCTCGCACTAAACGAAGGATACGCCTGACATCGCGCGGATACGAGGCGCGCGGCGCGGCACGGCGCGGAACGGAGCGGAGCGGAGCAGAATGAAGCAATAAGCGTGCCGAGGTTAGGAGAGGACTACTGTCATTAAGAGTGGGGGGGAACGACACCTGTTCGACGTTCGCGGCAGCGCCTTCGCGAATTGCGGAGCGCCCTGCTGACGCGATGGGCTTGAGCATCGATATGGAAGTGGGATTGGCAGCCGGATATCGAGAGTCGGAAAGTGCGATCGTACGCTCGCGATTTATCGACATGACTCAGTGCTGTCGTCATTTTACTTACATCACTCGACTCGTACTGATTTTATGCAAATGGCTGATTTTTTTTTTTTAAATTGAAGCGTCAAGAGAAATTAGAGAGCATGATGTAATCTAATTTTTTTAAAGATTGTTTAAAATTTACTGCTAATGTCCATGATTTGCTTTTATTAAATGATCAATTTTAAAATATAAAAAAAAATTGAGAACACTGGTATAACTGATATAAATATATTTATTAGTATTATTATTAATTATTGTTACACATTGAGTAGTACAATTATATTAATTAGTTGTTGTATAATAATTGAAAAATTGTTTTTTTTATAGTTATTTCCTTTCAATTGTCATTTTTAAGTAATTTGCGACAGAAAGAAAATTCTGAGAATTTATTAAATCAAAATGTATTTTTATTCGTTTATAATCACTAGATCAAATTATTATATCAAAATAGTATAAACAATTTTAATAATTGGAAATATATAGAAAACTAATTGTTAATGTAATGAATAAGTCGATATATTGAATTCCCACAGCGTAAAGTCACATTCACGTCACAATAAGGTTACAATAATAGTCAGGAAGAGAACATGATTGTTATAAGAAAATAACAAAGGCATTCGCACATCATCGTGATATTGCTATGACATTATATTTGTGATAAGGCGGACATTCATACGTCACCATGACGTAATCATGTTTATTGTGATATAATTAACTGTGACATTTTTTGCTATGGGAGAATTATAAGCAAATTGTAGGAAATCAATTGAGTATCTTGAAACAAGAGGAAAATTACAAAAGTGAACAAATTAATTATGTGTATTAATTATTGACCAATGAAATTATAAATATATTTTATGAATGAATATAAATTTATTCTTTTTTATCATTTTCTTGTTAAAATAAACAATTGATTAACGAAAAATATGTATAAATAAAAGAAAAAGATATAAATAAAAACAAAAGAAGACAGAGAAAAATAAACGATGTAAAAAGAAAAGAGGAGCGTTAATTAAAGTATTTTAGATCCAATTGCACTAACGTTACTTTAACTTTAAGAAAAGTTTAAAACTCATTCTTTCTCTTTTTAAAGCCGACAGAAAGATAGAGAGAAATAATCGAAATCTGATTAATGCGACGTTTATCACACTAAATAATTAATTAATTATTTAAATTAATTAAAATCACATTTCCATAAATTGTCGAATATTTTTTGTCCAAAAAATAAGTTTCGCGAAAAACAAAATATCTCGCTCAGCTTCGAAAAACCGCCGTGCATTCGCGTTCGCGCTGATCGCTCGATAGATGGCAGCGCCGATCGGCCGCTATATTGATCAAGTTAGATTTTGTGAGACGCACGTTGATAAGATCTCGCGAAATTTTTCGATTGCACGCAATCACACGCAATCCTCCCGCGTGACGTGCGTGCCTGCGTGCGTGCGCGTGTACGTGAGTCCGTGTGTATGTGTCTGACGTCCGTCGTTCGGTGTCCATTCGCATCGAACGACAGCGAATTCGGGTCCGCGCGCGCGTCTCCCCCGGCAGTCGCGGCGTCGTCGCGCAAAATCCTCTTTCCTCGCCCATGACGTCACTTGCGAATTACACAAGCGTCATCATTCAGTCTGTTGTGGAAAATTTCACGGAGTCCATGGTGGTAGCGGTGAGGTGCGTCGTCCTTTGAGCGAGACCGGCGTATCACCCTCGTCGGCAACATCGCGACGACGACAACCAAGTGCATCGCGACCAAGAGTGAGCGCTCCTCTCTCCCTTTCTCTCTCTTTGTCTTTCTTGTTCTCTCTCTCTTTCTCTCTCTCTTTCTCTCTTTTCTCTTTCTCTTTCCCAGCATCATAGTCCGCCGATCATCATCGCAATCATCAACATTATTCACACCAGCTACGCGCGAAACTACGAAGAAAGATTTCTTAACCGAACCTCTCGTGCATCGTGTTGTTTATTGTCATGTCAATCTCGAACGACGTCAAGCAGCGTCGCCGAAGCTCGTCGACACCTCGATGACATGTCTCGCATGACATTTCGCACCTGCCTCTGCGTCATACTTCCATGACTCTTTTAACCAGGAGTCTCCTCCCATTAGATCATTCATCATTTGCGATTCATGTGTCATCTTCATGAGTTTTGTTAGCCAAGATATTTTCCATTTGATCAGAGAAAAATACTTTTTTTTGTTACTCAATGAGATCATTTTCTTTTTTTCGTAAATAATGTTATTTAATGTTCTGTAAGTTGATAATTTATTTTAAGCACAATTTTTAGCAAAAGTTTTAAATATTCTGCTTTTGAGAGAGATTAATGTTTCTTATAATGAGATATGTGTTAAACAATATCTAGTGATAACCTTCCTATAAAAGGAATTCCTGTCCAATCTTTCTATTAGATTGTTTATGACATGTCATTATGTTGTTTACATTATATGTTTGCTTAACGTTAACTGTATTTTTCTCTCATGTTGCAGTCAAAGTTCACAAAAGACTCTTCCTACGTTATCACAATGTCTATGCAACAATTCTGTTTGCGATGGAACAATCATCAACCGAATTTCATCTCAGTTTTTTCCAATTTGTTGAATAATGAGACTCTAGTGGATGTCACTCTCGCTGCTGAAGGCAGGCAGATTCAGGCTCATAAAGTCGTACTGTCAGCATGCAGCACGTACTTTCAGTCATTATTCACAGTGAATCCTTGTCAGCATCCTATTGTCATACTCAAGGACATCAAGTTTTCCGACCTCAAAATTATGGTGGACTTTATGTATTACGGAGAAGTGAACATATCTCAAGACCAATTACCATCCATCATAAAGGTAAATTAAAATGTTTCATTGAATAATCAAACAATTTGCTATTATACTTTGTAGAGCTTGATGAGTAACATTTTATTTATTTAACAGACGGCAGAGAGCTTAAAGATAAAGGGACTCGCAGAAATGCATACAGCGTCATTAACTAAATGGCCAAGTGGAAGCAGCGAAACAGGTGGAGGGGATCGCGGCGAATCTTGCTCGCCAAGTCCTTCTCCATTATCTCCTTCTTTTCGCAGAAAAAGATTAAGGAAGTCTTCAACTGGTTCAACGTCTGGTTCTGGTGACAAACCAGAAGAAATGAATGAAATCACATTAGTGGCTACCAACATTGTCAAACCTGAACCCCTCATTGTGTCGCAAGAGAGTGGAGAGAATTTGAGGCGACCAGTAAATACCAGCACAGAATCTCAAGGCAGTATTGACGAAGATCAAATATCAATTGTAAGTAAATATTGACGTACGATGCTTGTATTATTTAATCTTCTTCTTAATCCTATTGTTTGTGGCCGAGCGTGGTGACATTCTCTCATATGCCTGTGGTGCACCCGCTAGTTGTACACAGTCATGTGGGATCTACAGTTTAACATTGATTCCGAACGACGAATTGGTAGAGAAGTTTCCAGGGCAAGCATACTACTCGATAGTTTGCCATTGCCTCTCGAGAGGAACTATGAGCAAAAATTTTCGATTCTGCCAGAGATCGAATCTGGGATCTCTAGTATAGCAGACCAGCTATGTCACACTCGTGCTCATTATTTAATCACAATTTTGTAATTAGTAAATCACAAGTGTCAGTCAATAGTATTGTAAAAATATAAAATAATTTTTTAAAATAACATGTAATATTTTATATTTTAGATGAGTAATATGGAAACTAGTTCTGCTAATACGCCAGCCCAAAGTGACGGTTCTATTCAAGATGTAAGTCAACAATCGGCAGGAAACATTGGACAAAGTTCTGTATCTTCGCAACCACCTGTTCATCAAGGTAAGATGTTAATAAATATGTTTTATGCTGTTCAAATATAAATCTCTATAAGATATTTAAAGGAGAGAGTCACACATATTCAGGTATTATTTACAATATAAACTACATGTACATATTATGTACAAAGAAAAAAATTAATATATTAGAAATTAATATATGAAACTATAAAGGCAAATAATTTTACCACATCACTTTTTTTTTATGCTGCATGTATAATTTTGTACATGGCTGTGAATTGAAGTTTTCTTTCACACATATAGATGAAAATTTTTTTTTTTTATATATATATTTTCCTAAATATTTTACATGTGTTTTGATTGTGCATCTTATGTTTATGTGACATTATAATTTGCCTAATAATATAATTTAAAATGTGCTATTTATATGAATATTTATATAAATTATATTTTATGAAAATAGATTCAAAACTTTAATGCTTATCCACATTAAACATATTCAAAGCACATAATAGATTTGTATATATTTTATGCGAGTCAAATAAAATCATACACTATAAATTAATATATACATATGATATTATATATCAAAAGTAAAAGTTCAAAAATTACAATTAATAAAGCTCTTTCTGTTTTTATATTTTTTAAAAATATATAATTTTTAAGACTATCTATTTTGTTTTAATCCAAATTAAAAGAGAAAGAGTTATATGTGATAGAATAAAAAATATATATATTTATCATATTAAACTTATTATTTATCAAACATTTAATTTTTCTGCCTTCATAAAGATAAATTAGATAAATATTTTATCTATTATAATAGATTGATTGAGTAGAGCGTTAATAATCTAGACTGTGTGCATAGGCGTAATGATATGAAAGTTTGAAGATACAGTTTTTAATTTAATGGGAAATGTGTCATGCGTGAATGTTTAGCTACATTATAGATTTAATAATATAATTTTTTTCTTAGTAGACTGTACATTGTAAATCCATGCAGAATGCTCTGGCAACTTTGACAAATTGCATGACACCTTCCCCTTTTAAGCAAATCTCTCCGACAATTGTTATTTGAATTATGCATACTGACTGTGGTGGGTATTTGAACTGCATGTCGATAAGCGAAAGTTACACACATTATATGCTGGCACAGATGCGTTTAAATGTATTGCACAAGAAGAATCAACAGACGTTTGACATGAAAATAGAGCGAAATTTCCGGAATTGAAATTCTAATAATGCGAATGTGCAAAGAAAATATTGTTTGTCATTCATAAAAGAAAGATCATCATGGTACACAGATACATAGCACATAGTATGTTATATTTCCGCAAAGGATGACATATCGGGCCTTTGACATTAACGAAGTTATGTATGTGTGCCTTATTCTGCCCTATAAATGTAACAAATGCCGTACACATATTTCAATATAAACAATGATGTGCTTAAAAATGTATCTGTGCCATGCCGCAACTCCATACTTAATACGCTCATATATCGTCTCTTCACAAGATTTTATTTTTAATATCTATCATCTTTCGCTTATTTAGCTTAGTATTGTTTTTCTACATACCATAGAATAAATTATTTTCTTTTGATTAGATCATAATTTATGTATGCCTTGTTTTATATAAACAGATATGCCGATATATGACATTCGTTATTATTCATAGTTCAAGTTATTAATAGTACAATATAATTGTGTAAAAATTGCATCTTTTGAATTGAAGTTTTTGACGTAATATATAGGTGAAATAAAATTTTTATATGAGATTTAATTACTGTATCAACGAATCGAATGAATCTCGCAATTATGTCAAAACAAATTTAAATATAAATCGAAATTATAAAGAGACTTCTTTGTTTATAGTTTATTTTGTAATGTTTCGTAATATTACTCTCTCATATTACTCTTTCTCTCTTTCTCTTTTTCTCTCCGACTTTATCATTTATCTTTGCTGTAAACGCAAAACGGGTTAATAATTCCTGTGCTCTGACCAAAGATGAATCGGTCTGTTCTACAGGATTACAATGGACTATTATGGAGCACACATATCATCCGACACGTTTCGCTCTGTCCTCGTGTCAAACAAATCTGTCGATCCAAGCGTCGTCGGCATTTACGACGCCCGAAATAACAGCATCTTCGACCATCAGCGATCAGTATTCTGGTACCAGCACGACTGGTTCCAGTTGCGCCCTGACGAACTATCCGAACTCTTCCCACGGGACGTTGCAGCACGCGTCGTCGGGTGGCCCCTCGCCATCGACGCAGTGCCCAAGCAATTGCCAGAGCCCCTGCGCCAGCCCGCAGACTGCGATTAAGAGGAAGCGCTCGACTAATCCGCAGGCAGACGAGAACTTTATACGCGCGCTTGATGCCGTGCGTTACGGTGGTATAGGATTTTGCAAAGCGGCCAGGATGTTCGGCGTGAATAACCGAACGCTCTGGCTTGAATACAAGAAACGCGGCTATCCGAACAATCGGCCCAGCCTCAAGTCCCGCGTTAAACAGGAGGTCAATTCTTCGCCGCCGCCGGCACCCCCGGCGCAGCCTATGAACTCGCAAAGTCCAACGCCTATGGGCCCGCCCACAACTCCACATAGCACACATAACACACATACTACGCACACTATGCTGACAAGCCACAGTCCCCACACGATGCTGAGTGGTTATATTGACAGGCATACGGACTATACGTTACCGAGCTCTACGATGCCGATTAATCTGCATGGCGTTAATTACAATACCATGTGAACTGTACCCTACCCGGAAAGTCGCTTGTATAGATGAGCTTGAAAAGTATTCTTTTCTATTCGTCCTTTTCTTTTCTTTCCTGTTCTTTACGTAACGTACAATTGAATTTATCATAACTTTCAGTATCAGTGCATTGAAAAGTCGAACTTCTCAATTTTTAGACACCTTTTTCGCCTGGCCATACTCAGATTTTTAAGTATTTCTCTCTGCCCATGTCACGTACGTTTGTCGTAAGATATAACCACATCTCTTAATTAATTGTCTCTCAGATATATCATATATTTTTTCTATAGATGATGAAAAAGTTGAATTCAATTAATTTTTTTCGAAAAGCTTATTAAAGATAAGAAGAATTATAGAACTTTCTGTCTGCGATGATTTCTTTACGTTGAAATACTGAAAAAGCACTTTAAAATTTATTTGTCTTTTATTTGTTTGTTTATATATATATATATATAAAATACGCACTAAACTATAGAGTCTATTATAAGTACTTTTTTATAACAAATTAGTTATAATTTATAAAAAATGGTAAAAATGGAAATCAATTATTAGTTTCAAGAGCAATCTCAGGTAACATACTGATCTTATTTGACGTCAAAATGACGGAAGAGATAATGTTACTATTATTTGAGATGTTTACTAATTACACGTTATATAATTTTTTTAAACAAAAAATGGGTTAGCGAGAATTAAATTTTATTTTATATGAAAATATTTTATGAAAACATGTAAAAGTCTTACTTAAAAAATTGAATTCAAATTCTTTAAATCGTCTTTAAAAATAAAAAATATTCCTTGATCTTTTTCTATTCTACACATCTATATACTATATTGATTGCGTTCCGAAATTCACTGCGCTGGCAATACTATGAAAACCGTTTCAAAATTTGTTGCAATGTAATGCAACAGACTGTGAGAAAATAATTTTGTCACAATTTTGTCACAATTTTGTCACAAATTTTATTATCATTTCCTATACGAGTTGTTGCGACTGGAAAAATGCAGCAATTATAGCATTAAATGGCAAAGTAACAGTGAATAGTATCTACATATACAGGGTTGGCCATATTCGACGGAAAGATGTTTTATTATTATATAATATTTTTTTCTATCTGTTATCTAATTGACAAAAATTTAGATGATCAAAAAAGAACGATGATGTAAACAAAAGAGAAAAAAATAACTTGTTCGATGCAGAGACTAATGTACAATATGAAATACAGTAGGAAATACTTGGCTCTTCACTAACGCGTGCAATATTATTAATAAATATAGTTTCTTTTCGATATTTTTGTGTTTAATTGTAGATTTTTATTAATATTAAAATTAAAATTTATTTGAATATTATGTATTACAATTTATTTTTTTTTTTTGCGTTTTCTTCATGCTTAGTACATCAACTGTATGCTTGTAAAAATGAAACACATTAGTGCTTGTATTATAATGATATCACGCTGTTATTACTTACCAGTGAATAACAAGACACAATCGTTATTCTGATACCAAATCCTTTGAACTAAATTTTTTTTGTAAAATGAATTGTTTTATTCTCATGTTTTCTCTTAATTTTTCTCTATTGATACGCGACTCATAATCCGAGCTGAATGTCTATAATGTGATAAATGAGCAGATTTATAGCGATGACCGTGTCAGCAACTTCTAATATTTACAACAGATTATTATCTGTAGTTTTTTGTTATGTCAGACGCTGTAATTAAAGTGAAGATTTCAGTATCATCTAGAATAACGCAATTTCATTGCTTCGATAATTAGAATGTCATTGGTAATAATAAATGATATTAGTAACAACGAAACCGTTCGCTATTGCACGAATCAGTCAATAATTAGTAGTAAATTTCGGATTAGTTTTAACATTGTCTATTTTTTTTTATTAATATATTATGCAGTATTTTTAATTAATAATTTGATTTTTGATATTTTGATTTACAATTGCAACTGGTTTTAATTAATTATTATCTTTTCTCAATTGGAATCGGTTCTTTTAAATTCTATTGCTATCAATAAAACAATGTGTAATAAATTAATTGATTAAGTTTGTCCTTTTTTTTTCAAAAATTTTATATTTTTTTTATGTTTACTATTTTTATGATAAAGTTTTGCCTCTTTGATCTTTCATATTATTAAAGTCTGATGACAAATCTTCGTTTTCTTTTAGTGTATTGTTATTAATGAAATTACAAATGGCAAATTGTTGACAGCAATTGCCATTTAATGCCGTTACTACACCATAAAAGAAACTTATATTATTACTAATCATTTTATTCAAAATACTCAACATCAGAATAATAAAGATTTTTTTGTTAATTATTATCGACTAATTATCGTAATCTATTGTATTTGTAAATAATACATTACGAAGCATATGATAAAGAATTGCGTTATCTGTATTTGCACGTATGTGTTGGTACAGATCATTGAAGACACTATATAAGATTATGATCCACACTCGGAGATAATTTATCAATACATGTATTACAATTATATATATATATATATATATATATATATAGTGAGACACATGATATATATAAATTTTCTATATATTTTCTTCTATACCTGAAAGTTTGTTTAATTTTGTGTGCTTTTTATATTGCATACAATTTAGATATTTGTTATATATTGTAATATTATAGAATATTATTTTAATACATTATTTTTTCCAGGTACATTTATTTATCCGCTCTTTTTGTTAATAAAAATGGAAGATTGCGTTAATAGAAACGTTGAAATAGTAATGTTGAATAATAATGCAAATGCAATGATGAACAAATGCAATTATATACTCGATGTATTAAATATCTCAGATCAAATCAAACTCTGTGAAAATAGATCTATCATTTTGAAGCAAAATGTAAATTTAATGTGAGATATGATTAGCTTTAGAAAAGACGCACTCGTATATAAATGTACATTATTTCTTTATGACATTTGTTATTCTGTTATGTTTAATCGTAATAATGATTAGTATAATTCTACCCCACGATGTGTAAAATATGATAGATACTTGATACAAAAACAAATATGGTTTTTTAATATTAATTGTACAATAAATATAGGCAGTACACACACACACACACACACACACACACACACACACACATATATATATATATATATATATATGTATATATATATACAAATTTTATGAAGATTAATGTTCCTAATTTAGCAGGAACAAATTTTTTTATTTGTTATACTATTTGTTATATTTAATAACTGAATTGAATTAGTAAAGTAATGCATGTATTGAGCACAAAAGAAAGATGGGAAAAGATGGGAAGGCGCTTAACATAACTCAAAAGATATTTTACGATTGTATCTCGTATCCTTAATTTGTTTCTGTAAATCATAACTTTTAGTTATTGTGGAATGAAAACAAAACTGCTTTACGCGAAAATCGAAAAATATAAAACATTTGAGTGATTTAACTTAAATAGAAATTAGTTCTTAATATATAGTAAAATTAGCTGTTAATTGCACTGTTAAGAAGCATTTATATCCCTCATATAAACAATTAAAAAATAATTCAGAAGGAATAAAAATTATTCTAACAATTTGCAACAGAATGGAAGTCTTATTTATTTTTCTTCAATGTTTTACGACCTTATTTTCTCTATATCATCACAATTTATTACCATAGCTGTTATTAATCTATTCATTTTTGGCGAAAAAAAATTATCTGAAGAAGAAATGTATGTGTGCACGCGCGCGCGCATATGTGTGTGAGAGAGAGAGAGAGAGAGAGAGAGAGAGAGAGAGAGAGAGAGAGAATAAAAGATGATAAAAAGATGATCTAATTTTACGATTATTCTTGTAATATATTATACAATTTATTTACAATTATTGATACAATTATTAATTTTTGTGTGTGTTAATACTTACCAGATTTATCCGAATAAGGAGTTCTCAACTAATTAACTAAATAATTAATCTTCGACATAAGATATCAATCTTTATTGTAGAATAAAAATTAACATCATTTTACATCTAAATGGTAATATATCGATTTTTCTCGCTACGACTAAAGTTAGTAAAAAGTATTTATTTATTATTGTAGTTCTTCATTGCAAGCAGACGCAAGTAGCGAAAAGGACTCGGTTGCTAATCAGACAACCACGAGTAAAGAAAGAGCCGAGTCACTTGTCACCGGACAGCGAAACAGCCTCCTTTTCACCGCACATTGTCTCGACCTCCGTTCATCTAGCCACACCGACGCTGAATCTTCCCCAAACATCAAGGAGTTTCGAGGAGTCCCGTATATCGCCACCGCCGCACACCATGTTAGTCAGCCAACCGAATCTGCTGACGGTGACGTCCAACTTGCTGACGGTTCCCCAGCAATCCTATCTGACGAAACAGCACTCGCATCCGTTGCTGTCCAGCCAGCAACCGAGTACGTCCGGGACATACTTGATACATCGGCAGCATTCACATCCGGAGTTACCTGGTAGAACCACAAGCCCCTCGATAGTGATTGAGCCGGCGCCCCTTCTTAAGACGGAGGAAGACCTCGAGGAAACCACGATTACGGCGACACCGTCTATCGCCTCCGAATTAGGGACCAGCGGCAGTAGCAGCACTTCCGGTGGATTGAGGGTGAAGACGACAGAGTTGCGACGGACTTCCTCATCGCCACAGGTAAATGTCGAATGCGAAAATCGAGATAAATGGCAAACATTTGCGTGAAAAAAATCATCGAAATTGTTAATTTGTACATTTAGACATTAAACTATTACAAAGATCCATTTTATTAAGATCCTATTTACGAGTAGCTATTAATGGATTAAATTTGTAAAATATGTATAGGCATTAGACATCCCAATTTGAATATAATTAATTCATACACTATGTCAATATTAAGCCGTTAATATTTGAAGAATTGAATCTTGTTTTATAGCAGATTGTAGCGTATTAACGCAAAATTAATTTCTTATTTTTCTTTAAGCAATTTATTATTTTAAAATATTACTTTAAAATTGCAAGGCTTATCAAAGGAACTATATAATAATTTGCTTATATAACAGATGAAGTAAATTATTATACAGTTCCTTTAGATTAGATAGATAGTTCCTTTCCTTAAATAGATAAGATAAATATCTGCTTATATAGACGAGCAGTAGCAGAGAGCCTCCTTCGAGGGATCAACGATTAGGTCACTGTCCGGTGTTGCGCCAGGGTCCAGCCTTAGGCTGCAATCACTGCTGGAACACGATAGACGCCCACGGCAGAATACTCCGTAGGAAGACCAAATATCATTGTCCCGAATGCCAGATCAATTTGTGCATCGTGCCATGCTTTCAGGAGTACCATGACCAGCGGCGCGAGCTAATTTCCAAACTGAAACCTTTACCAAAAACTAGTTCCGTTTAAATTTCCCCTTTCCCTCCCGATTAATTATGTACTTTATTTCATAAGTAATCGTTAATTATTGACTTACGTGTTGAAGCACGCGCTTTAAGTGTGAAGATTCAATATGACAATGACAAAGCCCGTCGTTGTGTGCAATTATTTTTCTCTTGATCGTACGATAATGAATGTGAGTCATCAGATTGATATTGTTTATTAAAATTTCATGACTTGATATATTTTCGTAATACATTTATAGCATCTACATATATAATTATATATATGTTGAAGTAGGCGAAGTCATTGCAATCTCGCAGTTTGATGATACAAATATTTATAATTGTGTGCATTGTGAGTTTTCCCATGCTCTGTTAGTCTTTCAGTAATTTTTGTGACATAGTCACATTTTTGTTAAGTATGTTTATTTCGTCAAGGAACGTTTTACTTTTGTCAAGAGCAAAAGCTCTACTTTGAAATTAAACAATACTATAACAAAATACTATAAATAAGAGAATTTACTTTAACATAGAAATGAAAAAATTAATATATTATTTTTTCACACAATTTCATAAAATTCATGACAAAAATGATGTATCGAGATTGGATGCAAGATTATTTGTTATTTTGGAAAATATGTAACTATTGCAAAGCTCAGCACTTTATTATTATTATTATTATTCATACTCCAGCGCATGTTAAAGATGTAAATATCCTCTGTAAAAAAGCTATCAATTTAGATAATATTACAAAAGTAACTGATATAAAAATACTTAAATTTTGCTGAAGTTTTAGATAAATAATTTTTAAAGTAAGAATAGATCCAAATGAATTTTTGTTCAAATATATATATTTTTATTAAACTTTTATTAGTATATATAAAAAATTTGATTTCATTTCTAATGTTATTTCTTCATCTTTTCTGCAAATAAATACTACAAAACACGATTTTATAAAAAAAAATCAAAGCAAACAAAAAAATTAAATAACTTTTAAATCAATAGAACAATTTTATTGAAATTTTATATAGATACTCATACGTAATAATAGAACTCATAAAATGTTTATATTTTTGATATTGTTCTTTTAAAATACGAAATATATATTCTTAATGTAATTTAGTTGCTTTTATATCTGTTTATATAAATGTTTAATTATTGTGTGCATTAGTAAAAATCGCAATCTATCTAAACTGATAGCATTATCTAAATTGATAAATTTTTTATATGGATGTTTGCAATAATATGCAAAACATAATTTCAGAGGTAAACTCTCAGTGCATAAACATAATAGTTTACATGAATATTTTTGTCTCATTTGAATTTATTTACAAATTATGTACGTTCTGTATTGTACGACTTATTTTGTTTTTCAAAGTGGCCACTTCGAATAGTCTGAACGTGTTATTGTCGATCTTTCTGAATTTATTTAAAGGCAAGCACAAAAACAATTGTGTTGGCAAATAAAAACGATTGTAATTCAGAACAAAGTCAGATAGTTTATATAAATCGATGCTTTTATTTTCTGAATTAATTATTTTTTTAAATATTTCCATATATGTGAAAACATAATATATTGTGTATATTTTGCAAGTATACATTCTAGCTTCACGCGTATTGTTCGCATGATTTTTAATGTTAACGTATTCGACGTTAATTATTTTTCCAAATATTTTCCATCTTTCGTCCAATCACGCTACACCGCATGATCTCAATAGAACCCTCTCGCACTATGTCTGTCTCTGTCTCTTTTTCTCTCTGTCCCCCTCGTGTGTACGAATGCATCGAGATAATAATTTCTCTCGCCGGCGACACGCAGACACTAATTTTGGAGACCATGAATTGCGAGATGGAATTGCAAAACAAAAAAAAAATACGAAAGGTAGAACCGGCTGGAAACTGACGCAGTGGCCGCTAAAACGAGAGCTTTAGCACACGTGCAACGATCGAAATTCGGTGTACTTTTATAAATCACTTCCTACCATTCACGGGGCCACCCCTATCGCCACCTGTAACGATACCCCGCCGTTTTAATGCGTCCGTGTAAATTTGTTGTTCGTTCCGCGTGCAATCGAACACGGAACACGCGAGTCTATTCTCTCGACACGCGAATTTTAGGATTAAAAAAAAGAATAGTACAAGCGAGATCGTTATTGTCTGCATATCACTCTTATTAAAACAAATAATATAATTTAAAAAAAATTAAGTTTCACAGAAAAGAGAAGAAACTATTTTTCAACTAATTATTGATTAATCAAATAATATCAACAAAAGAAGAATATATTCTTAACTTAAGAATATATTTATTCTTGATCAAATGTTATTTTTCTCATTTTTATTTCACAATTCTTAAAAAAATAATTCTTTTTTTTTTTAAAGCACACTTTTTGAGTTGTGATATTTTGGCGATATTTTATGAAATTAAGTTAGTTTGCTTTTAATGTTCCATAAAGTAATGGCAAAGTTTGTTTAACTCATTCGTAATAATAATTTGAAAATGACATTTTTTTTAGTTGCGTTCCTTTCAAAATAAGGGAACGTCTTGAATATAAAATCTGGAATGTATGTTATATTCAATACACATAAGAAAAAGTTTTCTAAAATCAAAATTGTGGCTACATAAAACAAGTAGTAACACATGCTATTATTTATACTTGTAAAAAACTAGCACATTGTATTTAATTACAATAAAGATGTATTTACATATTTATGGAAAAATAAAGACTTCTGCGATTATTTTTTTTTCACAATTTAACAGTTTTAATAAGATACAATTATTTCATAAGAGAACGATTGATCAGTGAAAAACATTGATTTTATCGTACACTACATCCTTCCATCTCAAACTCGTTTTTCCATCTGTCTCGATTTGGCGATTTGCAAATAAGACAAAATTGTTATCTTCTAATCGGATATTTCATCTGTACCGAAGCACAGATTTGGTTTCAATGTGAATTTTAGTGGTACATTTTCTATCAAGCATCTTCGCTTGTACTAACTTTTTTCTCTCCTTACTTCCCGGGTCAATTTTCGCCTGGAATTCACGTACTATTTGTTACCCGATTCCAGACTTGAAGCATTTTTTTTATGTGTGTCTCGTGCATTTATCGCGAAAATGTCGGAAATGCCGACACGTGTCGCGAACAACGGGATGGCCGTAGAAATGATCGTGTAGAAGATTTTTTCTCCACGGGGGAGAGAAAAGTCGTGGTGATGGATTAGGTCGGATTCGTTCCGGCCATTTCGATAAATCACGATTTGCGAGGCGGATAGGCGAGGATCTCTGCTCGCGATCTGTGTTTCCTCTGACACCTCCTTGCGAGCGGCAAAGCCGAGCAGCGTTCGCGCACTTTGTATATGTAAAGATGTTGAAGATGTAGAAAATACATGCAATATATTTTTCTCGGTATTACAGATGTATTATATGCGCAAGCGTTATACCGATTAATCATATTTTATGTAAATCTAGCCTGAGAGATTCGTAAATTAAAATAAAATAATGTGAGATCACACAGCGACATCCGGATTAATTATTTCTGTACTATAAGATGATTTCAAATTCTTTAGTCTGATACTGAAAGTAGTTGTAATATATTATCACGCGCTTTCGACAATACATGCCAATACATTTAATGATTACTTGATCTGTCCAATTGAAAAAAACGGCTACTTAAAAAGTGTTTTTGCTATTATTTGATATTTTCCAAAAATTGTTATCGAAGTGTATTTTTTCCGTCATAATTGTTGTCATGTTGAAGATATATATTATAATTCGGATACTTTGAATGAAAGAAGTCACAGATAGCCAGGAAAAAGATACAATCTAACATGATCACAATACAGATAAAGACATTAAAATACGGATTAAAATCTAAAACATAGAAAACCATATTCAAGATGACAATCAAGAAGTTGCTGAAACTGAATGGCTGTTATTTTCCAACAAAGGCGGGCAAAATGAGAAAGAGCCATGATATAAATTACAGCTGCGTGGCAAAGAATAATATTAATTAGAAGCTGTTCACCCGACGGCGGGAGTCGTCGCCAGTTCCTTCCTCCACTGCACGCGGCCGCCGAATCTTGGAGCAAATCGTTACTCGCAATAAATCCGCGAGGGTCGACTTTTTCCCCGGGTTAGTCGCGGCGGCGGTGGCGGCGTCTCCTCGGCGACGGCCGCGAGATATGGGGTCAGTCGTTTCTTCTGCGTGCAAGCTGACGCCACCGCCACCGTCGTAACGGCAGTAACCCCTCGTCGTAACGTACGAGACGGAAGAGCCGTCATCTTGGATCCCCCAAAAGCCGCGGTGATATTGTACGCGCAGCCGGTGCCCCGTCGACAGCTGGACCCCTGATCTCTCCGACTTTTCGCTCTCTTTCTCTCTCTCTCTCTCTCTCTCTCTCTCTCTCTCTCTCTTTCTGTCAGCAGAAACGAAAAGTCACCGTGCGGATTAATCGCCGGCGAAAAACCCCCCTTCGATACATAAACGCGATTCGTGGGAGGTTCAATCTTGTTAGGGCGAGAGAGCGTATTACAGGATGCGACAGGATGCAATCCGCGGTAAAGCCGACGGATACGCGTCCTTTACGCGTTGCCACCTCCGACGCGTCCCCAACTGACTTTAAAGCGGACGTCTGATTCTCATTATTATTATCATATTGATTATTATTGATTACGCACTAAGCTTTATACAAGTAACTTTAAACGGAAATTATGGAATAAAATTAAGAAAAGCAATTTTTAAGATTATATATTCGCGCTTATCGTAGCTTCTAATTAATACTATCTTTTTTTTTATATTGAATCTGTAGCTCTATGTTATGATTGTTAATTTATTATGTAGCTTTCCGTGTATTTATAGTTGCGTGCAAAAAGACAAGATATCGTTAATTAGTTATTTTTACTTTGCACAAAGATATAATCTTGTTTAAACTGAAGAAAAATAATGTTAATGCATTTGCATTAACACTTTGTTATTAAAGGTAAAAAAATATGACCGTGTTAATCTTTCTTGTTGTTGATGGTTGAAATGTTAATGTAAATTTATGAATTTGAGAAAAATTCGTGAATGTAAAGGGTATCTTGATTTTTCCGTTTATATTTTTTTCTCTTATATAATTGTTGTGTGTTTTAATGTCTTAAAATCTTTTACTATACAATTAGATGTGATTAAAAATGCATTACGATAATACTAATATACAGGGTTGGCCATATTCGACGGAAAGATGTTTTTTTTTTCAATCATGGGAAACGTCGTTACTCGATCTAATATCTCTTTTCCATGATTGAAAAAATAAACATCTTTCCGTCGAATATGGCCAACCCTGTATATAAGAATAATTGAAATTTGGTAAATAGAGGAATTAAAACAAAATAATGTTAAACTAATTTATATAAAATAAAACTCTCATAAATAATATAAACAAAAAGAAAAAGATGTTTAACAAAGTATGACATTT